TTATTATTAGTAGTATTATTATTATTATTAGTATTATTAAACACAAAATACAGCAACAGGTGGGTGATCAGGTAGCGACATCGGGGGTTAGGTAATTGCAGGTGTATTATTGTTACCTCTCTCTCTCTCTCTCTCTCTCTCTCTCTCTCTCTCACCTTTACTCAATCATCGTCTTCATTCTCACCTCATACTTCCACCCAACACTTTCAGCCGCCTTCACCACCTCCGCCACCCACCACCCACCACCCTCCATCCACCCTCCGCCACCCACCACCCACACTACACCACCCTCCAATAGCCTCCTCAACACAGGGTGGAGGCTACCTGTTTTGACCCCTTTACGTGAAGGTCAACACCCAGGTCACGCTCGACACCTCCTCCACCCACTACTCTCTCCTCTCCACCTACCGCCATCACCCACCACCCACTCCACACCCACCCCTCCTTTTCTTGACACCCAACAGCCACCATCCACAGCTAACCAATAACTGCTCACTATCCACTACCAAATAACCCCCTTCCCACATTCCTCTCCCCTACCCTCCCTCCCTCTCACCTCCCCTGCAGACATACCCGCCTCCCCTAGACCAGGTGAAGGTGGTCAGGTGGCCAAGACCTCGGAACCCAACCTAAACCCTCCCCACCACCATCCCCCTCCCTCCCCACCACCATCCCTCCCTCCCCACCACCATCCCCTCCCTCCCACCACCATCCCTCCCTCCCCCACCACCATCCCCCTCCCTCTCCACCACCACCTCACCTTCTAACCACCTCACCTCCCCCTCCCCCACCCCCTCAATCGTGCAGGTAAATATTTAGGATGTAAATTAAACCCGAGATGATCACAGGTTGAGCACACCTGTTGATGCCACCACACCTGCTGATGCCCACCACACCTGTTGATGCCCGCCACACCTGTTGATGTTGATGCCCGCCACACCTGTTGATGCCACCACAACTGTTGATGCCCACCACACCTGTTGATACCCACCACACCTGTTGATGCCCAACACACCTGTTGATGCCACACCTGCGCCCACCACACCTGTTGATGCCACCACACCTGTTGATGCCCACCACACCTGTTGATGCCCACCACACCTGTTGATGCCCTCACACCTGTTGATGCCCACCACACCTGTTGATGCCCACCACACCTGTTGATGCCCGCCACACCTGTTGATGCTCACCACACCTGTTGATGCCCACCACACCTCTTGATACCCACACCTCTTGATACCCACCACACCTGTTGATGCCCGCCACACCTGTTGATGCCCGCCACACCTGTTGATGCCCGCCACACCTGCTGATGTTGATGTCCACCACACCTGTTGACCTGTTGATGCTCACCACACCTGTTGATGCCCACCACACCTTTTGATACCCACCACACCTGTTGATGCCCACACCTGATGCCCACCACACCTTTTGATACCCACCACACCTGTTGATGCCCGCCACACCTGTTGATGCTCACCACACCTTTTGATACCCACCACACCTTTTGATACCCACCACACCTGTTGATGCCCACCACACCTTTTGATACCCACCACACCTGTTGATGCCCACCACACCTGTTGATGCCCACCACACCTGTTGATGCCCACCACACCTGTATTCTCACAGTTTTCGTGTGTGTGTGTGTGTGTGTGTGTGTACGTACCCAGGACAAAACCACAACAATGTGATAACAAGTTTCATACCCTGGCAGTGATGGTGGGGGTGTACCTGGGTGTAGAAGGAGGTGTAGGAGGTTGAAGCAGGATGTAAGAGAGTGCAGCAGGATGTGGGATGGTGTAGGAGAGTGTAGGAGGGTATGGCAGGGTGTAGTAGGGTATAGCAGGGTGTAGAAGAGTGTAGGACGGTGTATATGGGCGTAACAGGGTGTAGACGGGTAGAGGAGGGTGCAGATGGGTGTAGTAGGGTGTAGACGGGCGTAGGAAGGTGTAGGCGGGTGTAGTAGGGTGTAGACGGGTGTAGTAGGGTGTAGGAGGGTGTAGGCGGGTGTAGTAGACAAGTGTAGGTGGGTGTAGGCGGGTGTAGGTGGGTGTAGGAGGGTGTATGGACCATCACATCTACTGTATAAGACTGTCGAAAATGTTGCGTGTGGATCAGAGGAACAAGACAGGTGTGTAATTACGGACAGGTGTGCAATTACCTGTTCAAGATTGTTCTCTCTCACGCTACCTGTTCATGATACTCGTCCAAATGTTCAGGTAATGTTCTCTTTTGTTCATAGTGTTGAGCGGTGTGTTGCAGTTGTTGTTTTGTGACGTTATTATTGTTATTGTTATTATTATTATTATTATTATTATTATTATTATTATTACTTATAAATTCACCTACAGTATATATACATATAAATACAATAACGTCATTTACTTATTAAAACACACAAAAGCACTCACTTAACACCACAACTACTCACTTAAATACTTAATAAGTAATCTTGGGCTCCTACTTATGTTTCTAGAGATAACTTGTAATATTTCCCTCACAGAGGTTGTCACTTGTTTGTTAAAGTTGTTTTGGTATAATCGACAGTTTTATTCATCTTTCTCTATCTGTGTCTGTCTGTCTGTCTGTCTGTCTGTGTGTTTGTCTGTCTGTCTGTGTGTTTGTCTGTCTGTGTGTCTGTCTGTCTGTCTGTCTGTGTGTCTGTCTGTCTGTGTGTTTGTCTGTCTGTCTGTCTGTCTCTCGCACTCACACAACGGGAAATAACACCAGTGCTTTTGACACGTAAAATGGTATATTCTCTTTCTCTGTCTCTCTCTCTCTCTCTGTCTCTTTCTCTCTGTCTCTCTCTCTCTCTCTGTCTCTCTCTCTCTCTCTCTCTCTCTCTCTCTCTCTCTCTCTCTCTCTCTCTCTCTCTCTCTCTCTCTCCCTCTGTCTCTCTCTCTCTCTCTCTCTGTCTCTCTCTCTCTCTCTCTCTCTCTCTCTCTCTCTCTCTCTCTCTCTCTCTCTCTCTCTCTCTCTCTCTCTCTCTCTCTCTCTCTCTCTCTCTCTCTCTCTCTCTCTCTCTCTCTCTCTCTCTCTCTCTCTCTCTCTCTCTCTCTCTCAGGAAGCAACACCTCTAACAACCTCGTCTTACTTTACACCGACAGCTCTGAGAGAGAGCCTCTAGAGGACGCTGCCCAGCCACTTTTTCCCTCCTTTTTATCTTCCTAATCATAATGGTCTCATTTAACCCATGGGGGGAAGGAGGGACTAGGAGAGAAGGATGGAGGGAAGGAAGGAGGGAAAGAAGGGAGGACTGAGGGAGGGAAGGAAGGAGGGAAAGAAGGAAAGAAGGGAGGGAGGGAAGGCAGAAAGGAGGAACTAACTTACAAATCTTACTATACTTTCCTGACACATACACCAGTTAGTGCAGGTGTATGACAGGTGTATGACAGGTGTATGACAGGTGTATGACAGTATGGTTAGTGTTTTTAGATCCACAAGATGAGGGAGTTTTCTGGGGAGGATTATCAAGGAGTTTATACAGGAATATAAAAGTTGTGATATAAAGTGACGTAAATATCTGGAGTTGGTCACTAGTGCCACATCAGATATACCGCCCGACACTTGGACGGTCTATGTATGGGGGGAGGGGGGGTGGGTGGGGGGTGTGGTTGGTAGAAGGTGGATGTTGGGGAAGGGAGGGAAGGGGAAGGTGTTGGTGTCTTAGTCCACATCGACCTCTGCTACGACACTTTTTCTCCGGATGTGTGTGTGTGTGTGTGTGTGTGTGTGTGTGTGTGTGCGTCTGTAACTGCCACACACTGCGAGCATTTCCAGCACTCAACAATAATGTTCTTCTTCATTTATCTTTCCGTCTCAACATCTAACTTGGAGACGCTGTGAAAGTCTACATCAGTCTAAGATAAACCTTTTTCCTGTAGCCTGGCGTCTTAATGTGGCTCTACGTGACCGCCTGTTGTAGGTCAGAGAGAACGGATGTGTCTGTGTTGAGTTTTCTTTTTGTGTCCTCGGTAGTGTTGTGAGGGGCGGTGATCCACGTACTCCTCCCGCTGTGACAGGTTGTGACGTTCCTCCTGCCGTCCGTCACATTCTTCCCTCTCTCCTCCCATCATGATCTCACCCACTACTACCAGACCTGCAGAGGAGACAGGTTATGGCAGTGTTATGTCTCCGTCAGGTTGTATGGCCGCGATAATCTTCCTGACTGTCGTAGTTCTCAAGATAGATGCACCTGTTTTATCGGGCGGTGTTCCCCCCACACTGAGGCCTTCAGGAGGGTAATGGCCTGATTTTCCACCATCTTGACTCGTGGCTGAGACAGAGGGCGAGACACAGGTGGAGTCGTAAGGTCCTCTACTTCTACGTGTGACAGCGTCCTCACCTCACTCATCACCCTCAGGAGGAACATATACTTCACCTCTCTTCACTTTACACCGACAGGAGGATCTTTAAGAAGCGGCGTCACCACCTTCCTGCAGGTAGCCAAGACGCTGCCGTCGACCCGTCTTCCTCCCAACTCAGGGCGACGTGTGGCTGTGTCGTCCCCAACACCTGAGACTACTGCTGGCCCTAGTGCCCTCCACTGCCACGTCTGGAATCTACAGGAGGCGACAGTGTTGGCCACGTCGGCGCCGCCAGCAGAGACCCACCTGCCGTATTTCGCCCATAAGGACGAACCTTAGGAGATAACAGCCCTGATTTCGTCCGTGTGTAAGGCGGGTGGAGGCGGGATGCAAGAGTCACCGCCTCGTCACTGCCTCCAGAAGGTACACACCTGTATAATCTTGCCTCATTAACTCCATACAACAGAAGGTGAACACAGGTGGTCGCCTCCCACTGGCACCACATCCCGGGGCCCAACACACCATGACTCAACCTTGTCACTTACCGCAACTTTTTTTTGTCCTCCCCTTCGTAAACCACTGCCGAAGTCCGATATGCTATGAAGGTATTTAAATCTGGAGGAGGAGGAGGAGGAGGAGGAGGAGGAGGTACCAGTGAGGACAAAAACTAGTTTAGGGATCGGCGGAGCAATGTTGCCAGAACTCCTACGCCTGCCACCCTCATCTACCTCCAGGGTAAGACAAGGAAAAACTCACCTTCAAGAGGCTGGTCATTAGAGGTAGTTGTCTCAGGTAAAGAGGGCGGGAAGTAGGTCTTATGGAGGCCTCTCCTCCTCCTCCTGCTGCTGCTGGTTTGAGGTTTAATAGGTCACAAACGCTGATGGATGTACGCATGGTGACGTCTGGCAACTGTGCAGGACCTAGTATAGTAACTCCCTGTTTGTAAATATTAAGAAGAAAATGGTGAGAGAGAGAGAGAGAGAGAGAGAGAGAGAGAGAGACTGACGAAATGAAGGACAAACAGACAGAAAAAGAGAGTGAGTGAGAGAAACAGAAAAACAAAGACACAAAGACAAACAAACCAATAATGATAATAATAATAATAATAATAATAATAATAATAATAATAAATAATACATGTATAACACGAACAAGAATAATGCGTAAATTCTCACCTGGGAAAAAGGTGAACACCGAGAAGCTCAAAAAAAAAATCTAAACGATAAGAAAAATCAGGTTTATATTTACGAGTTAATGAACACATGAAACACATCACAGGTTAGGTTAGATTAGGTTAGGTTAACAACATGTGTGTGGTTAACTCGTAATGACCTACACAGTCTCAGAAAGGCAACACTGTCCGGTGTATCTGTCGCTATGTACACGTCTCTCTCTCTCTCTCTCTCTCTCTCTTTCTCTCTCTCTCTCTAGGCACCTCACCTCAACATTCCTCCCAGCACAGCAGGAAATTACTTGATGCCAAAAAAAACCTGCATCACTTTATGGCAAAAATGAATGTTGTTGATACTCAGGAAATACCTTGTTAATGGCCCAGGTGAGTCACTCGTTAATTAGGTGAACAACAGGTGAGTGACCAGTGATATTAGGTGAGTGTAAATATAGTCAGGTGAGTCAATCGTTAATTAGGTGAACAACAGGTGAGTGACCAGTGATATTAAGCGAGTGTAAATATAGTCAGGTGAGTCAATCGTTAATTAGATGAACAACAGGTGAGTGACCAATAAGTAACCTAAGATTTTAAATGAATAACATATTAAATGCTTCTTTTTATATTTTGCAACGATAAATAGTTATGTATATTGTATGTATAGTGTTTATCAATATCCTGTATTAAATGTGTATCGAGACAGGTACTTCTAATTAGTCTAATGACCACAGGTAATTAATTATTGGATCTTATAATTACCTTTGTGTTATGAGATTAAATATGTTAGGTTAATTATCTGGTAATATTTTGGATCACCTGAAGATTAACCACCCTAATCCTTCCTGGGGGTTTTAGGTTAGGTTAGGTTAATCTTCAGGTAATACAATCTTTTAATTGTTGAATGAGGTAATCAAGTCTTCCTCATTGTACGTGTGAGTTACAGCTAAGTCAGTGAGGAGAGGTGTTCAAGGTGTGTAGTATCTCTCTCTCTCTCTCTCTCTCTCTCTCACAACAGGCTTGGGTTAAGACAAAAAACTTGTGCTTCAGTTTAATTTCCTCCTCCTGTACCTTCACGATCAGGTGTGTGGGGTAATGACTTAATCTCTCTCTCATTAAGGGACCTCTTACCTGTGTTATTAAGAGACCTGTGTTGTTAAGGGACCTGTTACCTGTGTTGTTAAGGGACCTGTTACCTGTGTTGTTAAGAGACCTGTTACCTGTGTTGTTAAGCGACCTGTTACCTGTGTTGTTAAGGCACCTGTTACCTGTGTCCATTTCTCAGCCAGTTATCACACCTAACCTGACGCACAGAAGGAAGCGACCTCAAATTGACCCCCGAGAGAGTAACATGACCTCAGGAGTTCTGGTCGTGTTTGAAGGTCAAGAACAGACGCGTTTACTACTTGATGTTCACGGTCCATTCCTGACACCGTTTACAGGTCACGGTGAGGGAGGGAGAGAGAAGAGGGGGAGGAAGAAGAGGAAGGAGGAGAGAGACGGGGGGTAGAAGAGAGAAGGGGGGAGGGGCCAGGGATGGAGAGAGATGGAGGAAAGGAATAAGGGGAAGGGAGGGGGAAGAGGGGGGAAGAGGAAGAGAAGGAGGAGCAAGGAAGAGGGGGAGACACGTCTAAAACAAGAGACGGTGTTTTCAATAAGTTATGTCACACTATTATGCTCTGAGTTGTGGCAGTGTTTAGGGTCGGCTGCTGAAGGTTGAGGATTGACTCACTAGATGATATATTAATGGTCTTATATGGCTCTTCTATTCCTGGCTAGGTTAGGTTAAATTAGGTTAGGTCAGATTAGATTGGATTAAGTCACGTTAAATTAGGTTTGGCTAGGATAAATTAGATCGTTAGGTTAAATTTGGTGAGGCCAGGTTATTAATTCATGTCAGGTTAAATTAAATCAGGTCAAGTTAAATTAGGTCAAGTCAGGTTAAATTAGATCAAGTCTGGTTAAATTAGGTCAAGTCAGGTTAAATTAGATCAAGCCAGGTTAAATTAGGTCAGGTCTGTATTTACCACTCATCAATATCTCGCCTCGCTGTGCCGTTTGTGGCGGCGTGTGAGGGCGGGACCGGTGGCATATGACACCCTCCTCACTTGGTCATAAAACAGTCATATGACACTCGGTTCCTCACCTTCCATTTCTGGCAGTAGTTAAGATGTCAATACCTGAAGGTCATATGTTCACCTGAGAAACATTATTAGTTAGGTTAGGTTAGGTGAGGTAATGTGAGGTCGGGTCGGGTGAGGTGAGGTCAGGTAAGGTTAGATTAGGTCCTGCAGGAGACAACATCCTTAAAACAACTTATATAATCCTCAAGTGCCACTCCAGGTCGTATTTCAAGGTCATCCTCACAGTCCTACTACTACTACTACTTGACCTCATCCTTCTGCATATGGTGTTTAGAGGCCAGTGTGTTTGTGTGTGATAATAAATAATAATAATAATAATAAACGGTTTATTAATAGAGTTGCAGCCGGTGGCTGAAAATATACAGACTTACATTTGATTTAGACATAATGATATAATATGCATTGAATACATTTACAGGGCTGTACAGTACATAAATCAGGAGTTGTTTATTATTTTAACATTAGATGGGATGGTGCTGTTCTTATATCTATCGGTGCGGGCTCTTATGGGCTGAATTTTGTTGTAGTGGCGGACTGAGCGAGTTGGGTGGGGGACTGCAGGTGGCAGGAGGTGGCGATGACGAGGATGGTGTAGTAGTCCACTGCCAAACCTTGCTAGTGCTTGGTGGTGGAGGTCACTGAGGGATGGCATTTCCAGGCTGCCTTGACTGTGTTGTTTACATGGGCCTTCCAGTCAAGTTTGTTGTCTATAGTTACACCCAGGAGTTTGGCAGACTGCACCAGCTGGAGAGGATGGGCACCCACTGTGACTGCTGGAGCTTGCACTGGAGTGGTGGCGGTATTGAAGTGCATGACTACGGTTTTGGTGTGGTTGAGTGTGTGTGCCTGCCTGCCAATTTACACCTGTACAAAAAAGTCAGGTGTGATGGACAGGGATATATATTGTACACCTGAAGCCTAATGTTACTTGTTTTAAGTTCAGAAGTTCAGGGAATAAATCGGGTCTCTCTCTCTCTCTCTCTCTCTCTCTCTCTCTCTCTCTCTCTCTCTCTCTCTCTCCACCAGCCAAGTAAGGTAAGGGGGGGGCGTTTTGACCAAGTACAATTCATTCATATTTCACGCTTAATTACTTTCATTTATTACCTGTGTTGAGCTCATGCATAATTAGTGGGAGTCAGGTGAGAGGTAATTATTGTGAACCTGGGCTTAAGGTATACTCAGCTTAAGGCTTAGCCAGCTTAAACCTGTTTGTCTGAGAGAGAGAAAGAGAGAGAGAGAGAGAGAGAGAGAGGAAGAGGGAGTGGAAGGGAGGAAGGAAGGCAGTAAGGGAGGGAGTGAAGAGGAAAGGAGAAGGAAGGGGGAAGGTGGGGGGTACTGAAGGACAGAGAGAGAGAGAGAGAGAGAGAGAGAGAGAGAGAGAGAGAGGTTAATACATTACCATGAGTAATAAACTTAACAAGAAATACTATGTTTTAAAACATCTTAAAAATACGCCTCCACGCCCCCACTCCACACGCCTCCACGCCCGCACGCCTCCACGCCCCCACTCCCCCACACCTACAAGCAAACACACTTCCACACGCCCAGACGCCCACACGCCTCCACGCCCACACGCCCCTACACCTGCCAAGCCAACACACCTTCCACACGCCCAGACGCCCACACGCCCACGCCCACACGCCTCCACGCCCCCCACTCCCACACGCCCGCACGCCCCCACGCCCACACGCCCCTACACCCAAGCAAACACACACGCCCAGACGCCCACACGCCTCAACGCCCACACGCCCCACACTCAAGGCAAACATTACGCCCAGACGCTTCCACGCCCACACGCCCCTACACCCTACAAGCCAACACACTTCCACACGCCCAGACGCCCAAACGCCTCTACGCCCAGACGCCGCCTCCAAATCCAGACGCCTCCAAACCCAGACGCCCACACGCCCACGCCCACACGACGCCTCCACGCCCCCCACTCCTACATGCCTCCACGCCCACACGCCTCCACGCCCTGGCCACACGCCCCTACACCCACAAGCCAACACACTTCCACACGCCCAGACGCCCAAACGCCTCTACGCCCAGACGCCTCCAAACCCAGACGCCTCCAAACCCAGACACCCACACGCCCACACGCCCACACGCCTCCACGACCACACGTCCATACATCGACCCTTTTGAATCACCCATGTTGGTTCAGACTACCCAGGGAGAGAGAGAGAGAGAGAGAGAGAGATAGATTCATTGAGGAAGGGAGAAGAAGAGGAGGGAAAGAGACAGGAAGAGGGAGAAAGGGAGGGAAAAAGAGGTAGGTAAAGGAGGAGGGAAAGGGGAGAGAGAGAGAGAGAGAGAGGAAGGAGGAGAGGAGATGACCTCGAGTTTGTTATACCTTCCCTCAATGAATCACCCACTCACTTCCATGTCCGCTCTCACAGGTGGTTGGGTGAGTGGGGTGAGTGGGAGTGAGGGGAGAGGAGGATAAGAGAATGAAGGGAAGTGAGAAAGGCGAATGAAAGAGAGAAGAATGGGTGATAGGAGTGAGAGGGAGTAAGAAAGAGTCAGAGTAAGGGAGTAGAAGAGAGAGAGAGAGAGAGAGAGCTGACCTGTAGTGGTAATAACAATCAAATATTTTCTAAGTGTGTATTATAATTTTTCAAAAGTCTTATTTTAATTAGAATTGTTCATGGTAAAACAAATCGCCAAATACGATATATTTTTTTTTTTAGATTTAGTTAAGTTATCGTACTCAAGGGGTTAAGTTATCGTACTCAAGGGGTTAAGTTATCGTACTCAAGGGGTTAAGTTATCGTACTCAAGGGGTTAAGTTATCGTACTCAAGGGTTAAGTCATCGTACTCAAGGGGTTAAGTTATCGTACTCAAGGGTTAGTATCGTACTCAAGGGTTAATTATCGTACTCAAGGGTTAAGTCATCGTACTCAAGGGGTTGAAGTCATCGTACTCAAGGGGTTAAGTTATCGTACTCAAGGGGTTTAAGTTATCGTACTCAAGGGTTAAGTCATCGTACTCAAGGGTTAAGTCATCGTACTCAAGGGGTTAAGTCATCATGCTCAAGAGGTTAAGTTATCGTACTCAAGGGGTTAAGTCATCGTACTCAAGGGGTTAAGTTATCGTACTCAAGGGGTTAAATCATCGTACTCAAGGGTTTAAGTCATCGTACTCAAGGGTTAAGTTATCGTGCTCAGGGGGTTGTTATCGTACTCAAGGGGTTAAGTTATCGTACTCAAGGGTTAGTCATCGTACTCAAGGGTTAAGTCATCGTACTCAAGGGTTTTAGTCATCGTACTCAAGGGGTTTAGTCATCGTACTCAAGGGGTTAAGTTATCGCACTCAAGGGGTTAAGTTATCGTACTCAAGGGGTTAAGTCATCGTACTCAAGGGGTTAAGTTATCGTACTCAAGGGGTTAGTTATCGTACTCAAGGGTTAAGTCATCGTACTCAAGGGTTAAGTCATCGTACTCAAGGGGTTTAGTCATCGTACTCAAGGGGTTAAGTTATCGCACTCCAAGGGGTTAGGTTATCGTACTCAAGGGGTTAAGTTATCGTACTCAAGGGGTTGAGTTATCGTACTCAAGGGGTTAAGTTATCGTACTCATCAAGGGTTAAGTCATCGTACTCAAGGGTTTTTAATCATCGTACTCAGGGGTTTTAGTCATCGTACTCAAGGGGTTAAGTCATCGTACTCAAGGGGTTAAGTTATCGCACTCAAGGGGTTAAGTTATCGCCTCAAGGGTTAGTTATCGTACTCAAGGGGGTTAAGTTATCGTACTCAAGGTTAAGTTATCGTACTCAAGGGTTTAGTCATCGTACTCAAGGGGTTTAGTCATCGTACTCAAGGGGTTAGGTTATCGCACTCAAGGGTTAAGTCATCGTACTCAAGGGGTTAAGTTATCGCACTCAGGGGTTAAGTTATCGTACTCAAGGGGTTAAGTTATCGTACGCAAGGCGTTTATTCATCGTACTCAAGGGTTTAGTCATCGTACTCAGGGTTTATTCATCGTACTCAAGCGATTTCATCGTACTCAAGGGGTTGTCATCATACTCAAGGTTTATTCATCGTACTCAGGGGTTGTCATCGTACTCAAGGGGTTTAGTCATCGTACTCAAGGTTTATTCATCGTACTCAAGGGTTGTCATCGTACTCAAGGGTTTAGTCATCGTACTCAAGGGTTTAGTCATCGTACTCAAGGGTTTATTCATCGTACTCAAGGGGTTGTCATCGTACTCAGGGGTTTAGTCATCGTACTCAAGGGTTTATTCATCGTACTCAAGGGGTTTTATTCATCGTACTCAAGGGGTTGTCATCGTACTCAAGGGGTTGTCATCGTACTCAGGGTTTTAGTCATCACTCAAGGGTTTAGTCATCGTACTCAGGGTTTATTCATCGTACTCAGGTTTTCATCGTACTCAAGGGGTTTTAGTCATCGTACTCAAGGTTATAGTCATCGTACTCAAGGGTTTATTCATCGTACTCAAGGGGTTGTCATCGTACTCAAGGGGTTTAGTCATCGTACTCAAGGGGTTTTATTCATCGTACTCAAGGGGTTGTCATCGTACTCAAGGGTTTTAGTCATCGTACTCAAGGGTTTGGTTCATCGTACAGGTTTATTCATCATACTAAGGGTTGTAATCATACCAAGGGCGTTTAGTTATCGCACCTAAGGGTTTATTCATCGTACCCAAGGGTTGGTACTCAAGGGGGTTTAGTCATCGCACTCAAGGGTTGAGTCATCGTACTCAAGGGTTTATTCATCGTACCAAGGGGTTGTCATCGTACTCAAGGGTTTATCATCGTAATTCAAGGGTTTATTCATCGTACTCAAGGGGCTGGGTCATCGCACTCAAGGGGTTTAGTCATCGTACTCAAGGGGTTTAGTCATCGTACTCAAGGGGTTTAGTCATCGTACTCAAGGGGTTTAGTCATCGTACTCAAGGGGTTGTCATCGTACTCAAGGGGTTAAGTTATCGTACTCAAGGGGTTGTCATCGTACTCAAGGGGTTAAGTTATCGTACTCATGAGGTTAAGATATTTTATTGTGAACATTTTCATGTTTTTATCCACACACGAAAACATTAACAAAACACATTTAAGAAAAGGAAACTAAAATGACCCATTGATTATAAAGACAACGACCAGTTGGTGATCTGACTTTCTGCCTCATTTACACACAGTTGCAGGTCTCAAGTGTTTCTCTTACTGGACAACACAACATACATATATTGTTTCTCACTATCGATATTATTATTATTATTATTATTATTATTATTATTATTATTATTATTATTATTATTATTATTATTATTATCATTATTATTATTATTATTATTTTTATTACTATTATTATTATTAAATTTTCGCCCCCCAGGCCCTGATGTGGGTCATTGACCTGTGCCCACTTCTACACTAAGACCATGCACAAGATGCTTCACCTATATACGATTGGTCCTCCAGAGATACAAACTATCTCACTAACTGGTCAATGATAGGTAGTAAAGATGAAGTGTTTACGGGTAACTCATTTAAAAAATATTCTTTTGGGTAACTGAAACTGAAAAGATGTTTCCTTTTGACTCAGTGGCAGGTCGTCCGGAGGAACATATTAGCCATTTACCTGCATGTCGGCACTCAAGGGGGGGTCAGGAGCGTGGGCGAGACAGGGAGGGAGAGAGGGGAGGGGAAGAGAGAGGTAGGGAGAGTGGGTTGAGTAGGGGAGAGGATGAGAGAGGGAGGGAGGGAGGGAGATATGACCTTGATATTATGGCGTCCCTCAATGAATCACCCATTCACTTCCGTGTCCGTCTGCTCTCACAGGGCCTTGGGTGAGAGTGGGGGAGGAGGGATTGGAGAGGGAGGGTAGGAAGAGGAGAGAGGGGGGAGAGGGAAGGAGAGTCAACCTTGAAATTGCTACAGAAACTGTGGATGCATTACTCATTCGCTTCCGTGTCGCGTCTCACAGGTGAGTTGAGAGAGGGAGAGAGGAGGGGAAGGAGAGAGGGAAGAGAGAGGAGGGAGGAGAGAGGAGGGGGAGGAAGGTATGAAGGAGGAGGAACAAAAATAAAGAGAGAAAGAGAGATAGAGGAAGTAGAGAGGGAAGAAATAGGAGGGAGGAGAGGGAGGAAGGTATGAAGGGGAAGGAAGAAGAAGGAAGAGAGGAAGAGAGAGAGAGAGATAGAGGGAGGGACGGAGAGTTGGACTGTCTCCATTCACACCTTTGGAATATCAATGATGGTGGCGGTGCACACTTCCTCCTACATGTTGGCTCTCACTGGGGGAGTGTTGGGGAGAGTGGCGGAAAGGTGGGGAGAGAGTGTTGGGGAGACTGGGGGAGAGAAAGAGAGGGGGAGACAGGGGGTAATAGGAGATGAGAAAGACGGGGAGAGGTGAGGAAAGAAAGAAAGAAAGAGAGAGATAGAGGAAGAGAAAAACAACAACAGCAGTAACAACAACAACAATCGTATGTCAGTTGTGCTGGGCGGATCGTCTTCAAACTTGACGTATGTGTTGTGCTCTTTATTCGATACAACTTCACAAAACCTTTCCATTTTTAGGTCACTTGAAATCCTCAGTTGACTTTTAGGCGCCAAAGGTTAAACTCTAGCGATCTATGGCTATATTGGGAGGGGGTGGAGAAGGCTAGTGGGCACGTAGGAGTTTGATGTCTTTAAGGTTGAAGTTTAAAGAAATATTACCTTTTTTTTAGAACATGTTCGATTTTAAGGGTTGAGGTATGTTCGATTTTAAGGGTTAAGGTATATTCGATTTTCAGGTTTGTAAGGGTGATGCCTACAGAAAAAGATCGTATTTTTTTTAAGGAGTTTAATGGTTCATAAGCGTTTCCATTTTAGAGATTCGAACACTTAACAAAATACATAATTCGATTTATAATCGTTTCTTAAGGTAGTTTAGTTAATAACACACACACACACACACACACACACACACGTGTACAGTCACAAAAAGAAGTCATGTCTGTCCTTGGTCTTATCCTCGAACTCTGAAGCAATGAACTTGTGAACCCTTGAGTCTCGTGAACCCCCCTCTCTCTCTCTCTCTCTCTCTCTTTCTTCTTCTTCTTCCTATACCCCCTCGCCCAATTCCCTCCTCTCCTCTCTCTTTCTTCTTCTTTCTTCTTCTTCTTCTTCTTCTTTTCTTCTTCTTCTTCTTCTTCTTCTTCTTCTTCTTCTTCTTCTTCCTTACCCCCCTCCCACCCACATTCTCCTCCTCTCTCTCTCTCTTTCGCTCTCTTCCTCTGACCCTTCCCCTTCTCTCTTCCTCACTCTCTTCCTCTTCCTCTTTCCCTCCCCTTTATCTTACTCTCTCCCCCTCTCCTCGCCGAGACGGTACAAGCAGGTAACAGACGCAGCCTCAATTAACTAACAGGTGAGAAGGTGTGGGAGGTGAGACAAGGGCCGGTACAGACTCCTAGATGGTGAGAGAGTGAGAGAGTGAGAGAGTGTGAGAAAAAGAGAGAGAGGGATCCTGTACAGACTTCTAGATGCTGAGAGAGTGAGAGAGTGAGAGAAAAAGAGAGAGAGGGATCCTGTACAGACTTCTAGATGGTGAGAGAGTGAGAGAGCGAGAGAGTGTGAGAAAAAGAGAGAGAGGGATCCTGTACAGACTTCTAGATGGTGAGAGAGTGAGAGAAAAAGAGAGAGAGGGATCCTGTACAGACTTCTAGATGGTGAGAGAGTGAGAGAGCGAGAGAGTGTGAGAAAAAGAGAGAGAGAGGGATCCTGTACAGACGTCTAGATGGTGAGAGAGTGAGAGAAAAAGAGAGAGAGGGATCCTGTACAGACTTCTAGATGGTGAGAGAGTGAGAGAGTGAGAGAAAAAGAGAGAGAGAGGGATCCTGTACAGACTTCTAGATGGTGAGAGAGTGAGAGAAAAGGAGAGAGAGGGATCCTGTACAGACTTCTAGATGCTGATGTGTTGGTTGATTTATTTTGCTGGCCGTCAACAACATCATAGATCATTACGGTCGGAGTGTTGTTATTTTTATGTTCTCGTTCTCTGACTTTGGTTATTTTTCTTCTTCTCGACGGTCCACATTTACTCATTTTCCTCACAAATATGTTGTTTTTTGTCTTCTTCTTTTTCTCTTTCCTTGTTTTTTTCGTCTTCATGTTTCTTCTTATGTTCTATTTCTTTGTTCTCTTGTTTCTTTTGTTCTTCTTTTCTTATTTCTTCGTATCGCAGCTTGGCTCTCCTACACTCCTCCCTCCACTTGGGACACTCCAGGTCGGAGGAGGAATGAGGGCCACCGCAGACACTTCTGTGTTGCTTCACTGGAGGTGTGCTGGTGCCCGGTCGTCCCGCACGTGGGGCAGACCTCCTGAGGCCGGCATTTCTTGGCTGCGTGGCTGTATCGCTGACAGTGGAACACCTTGTTGGTTTTGGTATGTATGGTTTTACTGGAATGGTGTCCCATCCCAGTACAACCTCTTTGGGAAGTGACCTGAGGAAGCCGACCACGGCGGAGGTGCAGGGCTTTCCCGTCGGACCCTGACAGCTTCCTCTGAACTACACATTCCCCGATGAGTGTCTTGTAATTCCTCGAGCTCAAGACGTTCAATTTCAGTGTGGGAGATGACCCCTCCACACAGTGTTGTTACAAAGTTCAGCGGTCACCTCAAGTACCACACCGTTGATGTAGTTTCGTTGAGGTATAAAGCGTCCTTCAGTTGTCCTGACTCCCCCCATTCACAGAAGGTAACCAACCATAAGGCGGCGATCTTCGTTATCCCTCTACGCGATAACGAGTAAAGAACTTCCTTAGGGCGAGGAGGTTCATCTTCTCGGGATGTGGTGAGAGAGTGACCGAGAGTGAGATAGTGAGAGAAAGATAGAGACAAGAGCCTATACAGACTCCTAGATAGTGAGAGACAGACAGACAGAGAGACAGTCTCATCACGCTCTCTGTCTCTCACCATTCTCTCAGTATGTCACTATTGTATCTCTCGCCATTCTATCTCTCAGTCTCTCACCATTCTCTCAGTATCTCACTATTGTATCTCTCGCCATTCTATCTCTCACCATTCTATCTCTCACCATTCTATCTCTCACCATTCTATCTCTCGCAATTCTATCTCTCTGTCTCAACTTTCTATCTCTTAGTCTTTCACCATTCTATCTCTCCCCATTCTATCTCTCGCCATTCTATCTCTTACCATTCTGTCTCTCACCATTCTATCTCTCACCATTCTATCTCTCACCATTCTATCTCTCGCAATTCTATCTCTCTATTTCAACTTTCTATCTCTTAGTCTTTCACCATTCTATCTCTCACTATTCTATCTCTCACCATTCTATCTCTCACCATTCTATCTCTCACCATTCTATCTCTCAGTGTCTCCCCCGTGTGAGAATGTGAGGGAGGTGAGGACTGACTATTTCTCAATCATTCTCTCTCCTTCAACCTGGATGTTCTCTGACTCCCAAATATTGCTCTCTCTCTCTCTCTCTCTCTCTCTCTTTGTCATCTTTTCATCCATTCTATTTCATTTCTTCTGTTTTTTTCTCACTTTTCTCATTTTTATGTATGTATGTATGTATGTATGTATTACGTCACTTCCGTATGTAGGTGCCAGTCAGGTATCAAACAGGGAGGAAGATATTGGAAGCATAATGTGTTGTTTAATGGTAGACGCTGCTGCCTTATGTGACCAAGTTGATGATCTGACTTTCTGTCTCATTTACACACAATAGTTGGGTCTCAAGTGTTTCCCTGACAACACAACACAACTTACATATATTATTATTATTATTATTATTATTATTATTATTATTATTATTATTATTATTATTATTATTATTATTATTATTATTATTATTATTATTATTATTATTATTATTATTATTATTATTATTATTATTATTATTATTATTATTATTATTATT